AGAAGTAAAGAACCCACATGTAACAAATCCATCTCGGATCTTTAACGAGCTTGGGGATAACAAAATCTCGTGAAGCACAAGTGTATCATATTACTAAAAAACTCCCTCATCCGTTCTCTAAATAAACCTCAACCGGTGATGTCCTCACGTGTTTCGGTAGTTTAGTTTACAATAACACTGGCTAGCTACCGCCACTATAATTAAAATTTGGTGATTTAAATTTTATAAACTTCAATGGCTTCACGCGAAGAGTGACCTAAAATGACAATAGAATAGCATATGAATAGAAAATAGAAATTACAAAAAAAGAAATCGTATAATTTTTCAAATTTCCTTGAGCATAATATTACAATGCCTACATAAGTAACAATTGGACGTAGTTAGACAAAAAGGATCCAATGCACATCCAGTCACTTTCGAGATATGGCAGTTTGAAATTTAAGTGTTTATCACTGTTGTTTTATTTTCAAAACTTATAATGTCATGTAACTCCAGAGATATTTATTTATGTTTATATGTTGGATTTCTTCCTGATCTAAGAGGTTAAACTTTAGGAATCGTTTGGTAAATATAACTCATTTTTTAATAATTTTGTGGATTGGCACCTTTTTGCTTAATACTAATAAATAAATAATAAATAAATGTTTATTTCAGTAATACAATTAACTTTACATTAACAGTGGATGGTACCTCCTATTAAGCTTATCAAGCCTGTGTCAGGAGGCACCGCTCTTCCATAGCTATAAACGCATATTTAACATTTTTAACTTATACATACTTAATGTAGTGTTTAATTTTTACATTTCCAAAGATCTTAACTACGTCCACTTAGTGACAGAAAACTTAACTACGTCCACTTAGTGACAGAAAACTATTTAGTAACTCCGTGGAATCGTATGTTACAAATCATTGTAAGCCGTTTCAATTTTGTGTCCATTATTATATAATTAACATTATTTTTAGGCTTAATGTTTTTTTTTCTTAATGCCATTATGAATGAATTAGCATGCGTGTTTGTAACTGGTTTGGCTTGGGCAGAGTATCCGCGAGGGCTATGGGCAAAGAAAACCGTTTGCTGGTACAGTGACGTGTTTATTGCAATCTGTAAGCGTAGATTCACTTGTTATTTTATTATTTTACTATAGATTTTATTGGGTTAATTAGTAACTAGTCTAAAAAATCTGTCAACGAAGCAAATGTGCGTTTCACATGGCCAAATATTCTTTAGGCACCCTCCGGATTGGTCCTTCACTTGTGTCACACAGGTGGCTCGAGCCAACAAAAACTGTTTGTTCATCAAATTTTGAAGACGCGTCGACTCCCAAATTTATGACGAACCCGAGAACAAAGTAAATATTTTGTTATGGCTAGAAACGAAGTTTCAAAGTTGTAAGTAGCGCGTGGGCTTCCTAAGACAAGAACATTTTGGGTGTGTACTTTTGGGCGACAGATGCCTACTTCATCCATGAAAATAAACTCCAGAAAAAGAGCGTTGTGTAGCATCTCTACTCCCAAATTATTCGTTATCTTTTGAATTCTAAATAACGTTACTGTTCTTAATTTTAATGTAAGTCATTAACATGTAATTAAGGTACTAGATTCCATCTGTCCGCTTTGGACGCTTACTGTGGCATTATAATAACAACTAAACCAGTGAGCAAACAAATAACGAATTTCTGAAAATAAATAAACGAATTTGGCAGGTTCTAAAGAGTATACTTAATAATAATTTGTGCTTTAGCATCTTTGTCTAAAAACTTTTAATCCGGATTGGCATTTTCTGTTTTAATATTGAAATAAATAGTTGCTTGACTTCTGACAATTTTCGATTTGAAATTTCCAAACCACAAAATTAGAGTCGTTAGTTTTAAGTTTTACATTGCATGACTCCATTTTGAATTTTCTTTTCTTCTTCGTACCTACCTTCTCGTATTTCAAAATTTTCAACCGTTTAGATACGTTCTTTAATCATTTATTACTGCCTTCTTATTGCCCATAACCTGAAAGAAAACCACAAAACACTCACGTCTGAGAAGTAATTTTATTTATATTTTATTCAGAAATTAGAAACATACATTTTATTTTTGATTCCACCTATTTCCACATTTTGAATCTGATAGAAGTCCTAGTATTTCTTTTGTTCGCCTAACTTTACGTACCTACATGTAGGTATTCTTAAATGAGGTTTCATTACATCCAACAAGTTTTCGCTGTTGTATACATATTATTAAATAAACACGATTACTAAGTGGTCAGTGTTAAAAATATTCATATTTACCTTATCATTTAAAGCACAAACTTATACAATTAAAAAAAACTTACTTTTACACTGTACCTATCCGACTTATCACAATGTCAACGCAATCAAAGTGCAAACAGCGATCGTCAGATGTTTAAAATCGCGCACTCTGAATCCAGTTTGGAAAAAGCCCATGTATATTGTTTATTAGTCAATGTCAGTCGAGAACCTGACATATTTTTTCAATCCGCTGCAGTAGAACCGGCTCGACGGGGTACGGCAACAGGTAGGGTATAGGGCACTGACCTACAGTCGATGGTGCATGGCATGAATGGTATCGTTTACCTTAGTTCAGCTGGCAGAAGTGCACGCGTTCTTCAAATATCTATTACCGATGGATTGATAGATGTCCGAAATAGAATGGTCGTTTGAAATTAGAATACGGAAGTCAAGGTTATCTTGGAAATTGAAACCAATGTGGTGATTCAGTTGCGTAAGAAATTATGTGATGGAGTATGCTTCCCTGGGATTTTGAGTAAATAAACAACAGTGTCGTAAAGGTTAGGATTTAAATCTCGTTAGATATAAATTGCTACGTAAGTTCCAAAGTAAAAAATGGTGTTTTGAAGGCATCAGAAAACACAGCTTTAACTGTATTTGGAAGAGTAACTAAGTAGGTAATTCAATCGAAATGCCACTCACCTCTCGCGAACTGCAAGCGAAACGAGGCGTTCCGAGTTAGCTGCAAGCGGCCGGTATGCCCGTGTCCTTATGAACTTAACAAAGGTCTACTTTCACCGAGACGCCTGCCCAAAGAAGCAACTATACCATATACGGCCCACTCTTGTGATGAACGCGTCTTTACTTACGCGCTTTTTTATTGAACGAAACAGTAACGTTCAATTGAAACGGTAAATTGCGATCGCAAAAAAAAAACAATAGAAGCACTTCACGTTAACACTTTAATAGAACAACACTTGTAACACCGCACTATTGTTTCTCTGTGATGATGATAAAAGTTGTATATCAAGGGCCCGTACAGAGAAAAAAGTTGTGAAACTTTTCGAATGTGGTTCGTAATCGAACGTAACCGGACGTCCGTCGTGGGCGATGTCGCCGCGCGAATGGGGCCGCAAGAATAAAACACACGAGAAGCGGAGAGCGCGCGCGCGAACAGACTATCCACCGAGCATGCGGGAGTGAGCGAGATAAAATCGTGGACCGTTTGCTAACCCCCACCCCCCCGCACATGCTAAATTTAAGGGGAAGTAAAACACCTGCCTGTTTCTTGGTTTTGTTTAAAGTTTATTATTGCATGGACCTATAGAACTTAGGCTCTATTATTACAGGTTGAACTGACGCAACTGGTAACAAAAACAATTCTATTGTAACATTGTAATGGTATGCATGTATAAGCGTACATAAATTGTAAATACATACCGTAACTAACATATTTAAAAATTGATATAAATATTCTCGACTCTTTATAAAAATACTGTGAGGCTAAATGATATTGGAAAAGACATTAATCTATAGGCAATTATTCTAATTAAGATCATTGGTACAATAACGTCCAACAAAAATATAAATAGAATACATATAACCACACATATACAATTTTTTTTCTACATCTAATACATCCTGGTAAGTAAGTATACTGTGAAAAAGATAGAAAAGGACACAAACAATTCTTAACAAACAATACATTCCAGCTTAATAAAAATACCACTTTTCTAAATATAATATGCAAAAATTCATTTATATACATTATATTCAGTTCATTATTCTTAAGCCTATATTCTACATATTCCTAAAATAATTTTATGAATCAACATGGAAATTAAGGTAGATTGAATTTGACTAACTTCATTTGAGTAAAATTCTGACTTAAAAGTATATTCATTGACCAAAATAATACATTTTAAAATGTTCACCAGAATATATTTACAATTCTGAGGCACCAGTTTTGCTGTTGTCCTCCCAAGGCATTCTGCCAGTGACCCAGGGGTATTAGAACCACTAAACTTTGTTCAGCAGAATGATTGTTAATTTTAAAAGGAATTGAATTGTACCTACAGTAATAAAGTGACATATTTAAAAAGGCATTTTTTGGGATATATGTAATTTTGGCTAGTGCTAAATATAACAAAGACCTAGAACTGTGTTAAAAATGTCAGTTTCAAAAAATAAACCCCATTCATTGTTTCACTTTATAGATTACAATATAAATTGTGCCTGAATCAATTAACATTACTTTGTGTTATTTTTTAAATTTATTTTGTCAGTTTCCCAAAATGTAATTTTTTTAATTATATCACTGTATTTGGTGAAGGAAAATGTTGCAATGAAACCTGCACATCACAACCCCCAGAAAACGTGTAAAGTGCTCAATCAGCATGGGGCCACCGTGGCGGAGTATGATCTAAACCTAAACCCTCACCTGAGAGAACCGTGCCCAGCAGTGGGACATACAAAGAGGTTGTTGACTATTACTTTATTGTTGAGGGTGCAAAATGTTAACCATACAATTGTATCAAAAACGTATGTTATGTATAAGCATTGCTTACAAATAAATGGACGACGGGTCAAATACAAACACCACAAAAAAAAGTCCCAAGTCAACCTATTTAAACGTAGTGACATGTAAAGGAATATGAAAAAGCTAAAACGTTGAATTTAAATTGTAATGTCATCGCAGTACTGTCTAATTTTGCTTGCTTCGCTGTCAGTCGAACAAACGCAGACTAAATATACGCTCTGTATACGATTTTAACGCCCTATAAGTTCGGACACTTTTTAGCGCGGACCCGACATCCATATAATTGTAAGTCAATGTGTATAAGTCTTTCATTGTTTTAATAATTCTACAGGGACGCTTAAATCCTGAGTTATTAACAAAGGATTACGTTGAGGCTTTGATTTTTCATAAAAATTCTTTTGTGCTAATGCAATCGGTGCTGCTTTCTTCAAAAACATAGTTCTTAATGTTAACACTAAAGAGTTGATAAATCCAATTATAATAAAAATCCCACCGATAACGGCAAACAGTCTTAACAAGAACGTAAGTAAATTTTCCCTCTCTTGGTAAACTCTGACCTTTAATGCAGCCATATCGTATTTGAAAAATATTCCTGGAATCCCATGTGATCCTCTTGCATGACTAATTGGCCTTTCCAATTCTTTAATAGAATATTGAAATGTCTTTGTTGATTCAAATGCTGTTTGTATATCTGTTGGTACAACTTCTACAAAATATTGGAACAACATATCTTCTTCAGTTGCAATCTTTTCATCACCTTCAAGAGGGTATATTATACCATTAGCTGGACTTCCGAAACTTAATCTATGTATGCGGTGGCTGAAATTCTGTGGTGTATCATCAAACAACATGTTTAAATGAATGTGTCCTCTTGGTAAATGGAGACTTTTTCCAGCTGTAATGTGGAAATTTCCAGAAACTTTGTTCAGAGTTAATGTTCCGTGCAGTCGACAAGCGTCCTTTTTTCTTTTTGGTTTTATTTTGCGCTCCGGTATAGTCGCGCGGACTGAACCATGCCCACGCTTCCAGAGTAATTGCCATACGGAATGATATTCTTCGCGTAAATACGCATTTAAATACTTCACGGCGTCAAATGCGGCCTGTTGCTCCTCCGACAACTCAAACCAAGTGTCTTCTTCTTGTAATTCCCCAAAACCAAACACACTCTGAGAGGTAGAATCGAGTATGTCCGCCCCTAGATTCGAACACGGCATAGCAATTGTAACGTCGATGTTTATTCTCAATTTCTCATCCATATCTGTATCGGGCATAAATTTAAAAACTAAATTACTATCCAAGTAGTAACTAACTTCACTATTTATCAGCCAAATGCTAATGAAAAATGTGATAACTGAAAACGTTCCGCCAACCATTGTACTGTCCACGTATTCGTCCGGCACTTTGGGGAAAGCATCTAATTCTTTTACTTTCTCCAAAACCTTCTTTTTGCCACGGTACCGCAACATTATTCCCTATACTTTTATAAAACAGATTTCAAACAGAAAAGGACACAATCTCGGGAAAGGACGTTGACGTGTATTTATTTTTTTTTCTACGAAAATGACAGCAGCGTTGCGTTTACAAATCCAATAAAGACCGCGAATCACAGGCATTTACGTATAGATGATTTGCCATCTCACTTTAGTCGCAGACATTTCATATAGCTATCTCAGTTAAACAGTGTAACGCTTTATAATTTTGTTCACATCATTAACTTTCATACTCTTAAAAAAAATGGCAGAAGCGCAATAACAAAATTACAGGCAAGGTAAGCCAATCTTATTTTTATCAATGTTTTACAGGCATGGTCTCATTCAAGAACCCAATGTCAACGTTTCAAACTTCTGAACGTTCACAAAGATTTCATTATTGACGTGTGTCAACTCTGCCGTCTAATTTGACATTGTGAAGCTGTCAAATTTGTAATTTTTGTTTCATGCGATTTATCGCTACGAAATACGGAATTGGCTATTTTTATCGACGTGCCGAGTGAATTACACAAACATTTATGCAGTCGGACGGGGAGGAAACGCTGCTGCATTCATGTTTCGATTCGCTGAAGAACGCAGTCATGGGTTGCTGCTATAGCATTTGCCACAAAGAATCTGATCCACAGGTATGATTGTCACTAATTTTACTTTAATTTTCATATTGATTACAACCGTTATTACAACTCTTATATTAGTGGACAACCACGTTGTAGCTTGATTTTAGCAGATGTCTTTTAACATTTTGGCCATAATTTTCATTTCCGACATTTGTGACACAATGAACTTTTTTATCGTTATCGCTAATTCCTCGTTGACTGACACTATATCTCATACGTCGCTTTGTGTTTATTATTTTGTTCTTTTTGTGTAAATACTAGCTGTGATTAGTGAGATATTAACTGTAGGTACGTAGGTTTGGGCTGTATTTTTAAGAGGCTTTTGTTATTGCAATGAAAAATCCAGTTTTGGATCATTTAGTTGTAAAACTTGCTGTCAAACCTTGAATACTTTACGATCATTGTTAAGTATGTTTACTTAACAGGACCACCACCATGAAACAACATTTTACTTCAATTTAAGTAAGATAAATAACAAGTTAATGGATTTCATGTGTTTGCAGTAGGTTGCAAAATCTTTATGTAAACAATGTTGTCATTTATGTATCTTGAGTTTTGTTGTAATGAAAAAGCTCTTATTCTCATTGCAATAGTGGCCTAAAAGCTACTTAACACTCTTTTGAGAGCAGAAAACCTTGTTTTCTTTTGGTTTCGTATTCATGGACAAGATAAAGGCACTTATTTACAAATCAAGTGCAGGATTAATATAAAATCTAATTTAAGCCAACCAAAATCTAATTTAAGTTGTTATCAATAAATATCACACTAGTACAAATCAACAATTACAGATGAAACATCACTACTTACTTGCTTACTAATAAACTTAGCTTAAAAAAATAATGAATCAAGTGTTACTTGAGATGGTATGTTTGATGACAGTGACAGTGACATTTACACACTAAATGATTACAAAGAAAGACTTCCTAGTATATACATGTTCTTATTACTATGTTGAGTGTGTGCGTTATTATTATTACAAACTCTTGATTATTCAGAAACTGAAAATACTTTGATGGTCATTATTTAATGTTATTGGAGTTACTATTTATAAATTCACCACATAAATTTACTTGCACAGTGTAGACTTTGATTCATCTGTGTTTTAAATATATTTTTTTGTGTTTAATATTCTTACACACCACTGTAAATATTATATATCCAGTGATTGCCACTGAGTGGAGGCATATTGAATTCTGAAATACAAGCCTTCGTTTCTTCATTGTTCCAGGAGAACACAGTGAATGAACGGACTCACTTGTTGGAAGTGGCGGAACAGCAGCAGGAGGCGCCGGTGCCGGCTGCGTCGGCGACTACACCGCCGCGGAAGCCCGACGAACAGAGCGCGCTCAACCGGATCCTCCATGAGACTGCTACGTATGTACTCTATTGAATGATGTATTTAAAATACAAAATGCAGCTAGAAAGCAAGTTAAATCTACGTTCCACTGGTCATGTCAAGAGTATTTTATGCAATCATTGCATTATGAGGGTTCTTAAAGTCGTATACCTTGTTTAGGCCACGAGGCTTTGAAGAGTGACCTATGTAATAGGCATGAGATTGTAAGACCTAATTATGTAATGATTGCATATAATACTTTTTCTATGACTAAATAAAATAATGGAACAGAACCAATATTATTTAATGTATATTCTGTTAACAATCCATGACAACAAACACAATTTTAACCCATTTATTAGGGTAGGCAAAGGTTCCACCATACAGCCTCTTCATATATTTAGACGAAAGCCAAACAAACAATACAAAACAAAAGCTAAAGAGGTAGAATAGAACTGGCCAAGTACTGCTTATATTTTTATCAGTATTTTTTTTCAATAAAGATTTATGGCCCGGTTACTTAGGCCAATTCAACCAATCAGGAGGCAGTGTAGTGTTTGAGTAGCATCCTAATTGATATTTTAATTAGCAGAAATATCACACTCTTTTTTTGAAACATTTTAAAGTTATGTGTACGCTACTTTAATACTCATTACATGTCTATGCTCATTACATTCTGTGTACCATAGACAATAGAATTGTGATTCAGAACACTAGAAAGAGAACCTTTATGATACAGTTTAGAACAAGATATATTATTTGCTAGGGTCTCTTTTTCATTCTCATTCCTGATCTTACACTATTTACGTGAGATATCTCGTAGCCTTGGACCGTCACTTTGAGAGCCTTTACTCTATTTGAAAGTGAGTTTGAGAGGATGCGTTGACAATGACTCCGAAACATCGCCAGGAACGTGATCGACGTGGGCGCGCTGGGCCCGTACACGCTGGAGGCGGGCGCGTACAGCGAGCGCGTGCGCGCGTACACGGCGCGGCTGTGCGCCGCCCCCGCGCCGCCGCCGCCCGCGCCGCGCGCGCTGCTGCAGGACGTGTCGCTGGCCGAGCGGAACGCGCTGCTCGGCAAGCCGGGCTTGGCCAGCGAGGACAAGGAATTTGTGAGTACGCCCGCCCGCCTCTTGCACCT